AAAGTCAGCAAGAATAATTGGAGAAAAAATCAGTCTCAATATGATATTTTTTTAGGCAGTTGAACATTTAATGTATTTTTTAAGTATAAATACTAGAGGGGCATGTTGTCATTTGCAGCACCACACAGATATTAGTATAATAAATATTGTATGATATGTTTATACATATACATACAAACATACATATATTCAAACAAACACACACACACACACATATATAGGTTTGAACACGTGCGGGTATAACTCATTTTCTAAACCGTAGGTTGTAGTTACTAGTTGGCAAATGTTTTCACGGCTAGTTTTTGTTTGAGTGGTCGGGGCAAAGAGTTTATATTTTAAGATTTTTGGTTCAATTTCTGATTTATACACGACTTTGTATATAAAAAATAAAAATAAAAAGCCTTTATTACGAATGAGGACAGTGACAAGAGGTAACAACCACCCTCACAAAAGGCACATACTCTTAATTGCTTATCTCCAACACGTAAAACTTCATTTTCTTTTCCTTGGCAAATTTGGAAAATATTTTGGGAAGATTTCAGAAAGATCCATTCGGTGGTATGTGTAAAAAGGAGAATTATGGTGATTAAGACAATGTGTTCTACATATAGCGATGTCAAACCCTCACTCATGATATATATATATATATATATATGTATATATATGTAACTGATTAATTATACTTGGTGTTTGTCTATTTTGCAGAAAAGTACAAATGAAAAGGAAAAGAAAGGAAAACTAAACGATTTTACAAGAAAGTTTTCAGGCACATAATGATAATAATTAGGGAAAATACAAAATCTTATTTCATTTTTAACCACCAAGAATTGTGACAAATTGTTTTAATTCGAAGACGGTATGTTTCTTTTGATGATGACAAACTTCACGAATACATTTATTTTCTGTATTCGTTCTTAATTCTGAATCATGATTTATAATTATCTACAGTATTTTTTTCTTACAAAAAATACATGTAAAACGAGAATAATTATGAATCATGATTCTGAATCCATGAACCAAACATCCACTTAATCTCTAGGTTAAATTATCTCCAAGTGTTATCATCCCTGCGTCAATGAATCTTTCCTCTTTTGAATACGAACTTTTTATCCTTGAAAAAGCATTAATTTCTCCATCACTTGCTAAAATTATGTATTCTGAAGCACTTTAAAGAATTGAAAATTGGAAAGCGCCCACCATTATCTTTTTTCTAAGAAGAAAAGAGAGAGAGAGAGATAGAGAAAAATGTTACCAGAAAAGTACTATATTTCCCTCTTTTAGTGTCAATCCCATGATGAGAGTACATATGTTAAATTATTAATATATTGTAAAGAGGAAAAACTAGAAAGGAAAAACCAAACCAAAAAGAAATGTTACCATCAATATTGTTGTCATTCTTTTTTTTTCTGCATTTATTATTTAACACGTGAATTATACTATCTCAGTATTACTATTTTTGTCATTTTTTTTTACTTTCTGCATTTACTGTTTGACACGTGGACTATACTATCTTATTTTCTGTTTAAATAATAATATATCATATTAGTAAAGTTTACATGTCAAACAATGAATATTAAAAGTGATAAAGAGAGTCACATAAATAGTGACGTTAGTTTTTTTTTGTTTTAACCTTTCAAATATAATTAGAGGTTAATTAGTACTATTTGTCATAATTTCAGTACCCATTAGAAAGTTCCGAGGCCAGTTCCCAGAGAGCCTGCCCGTCTGTATATGCGCATGTATATTATGGGTTGCATTGGACCATCAAACAAGTAGAGTGTTCTTTTTTTTTGTTTTTTTTTGGTGGAGGGGATCAATCAAAGTAGAATTTTGAACTAACAGCTTGGTTCTTGTTGGATTAGTATTTCATGTGATTTATTTAGGTTTATACTCAATTAAACTACTAAGTCCTCGGAGTTAATACGAGTTTGAATAATTGGCAGACTGAGCTTTATGAGACTTTCATGATGATAATAACATCCATTATCCAAAAAAATTTTAAAAAGCGTATTCCCCAAGTTTTGATAGGTAGGCAATTAATGTCTGTGCGCAAGTATATATATATATATATATATATATTTATTTATTTATTTATTATAATTAATAAAATTGAATTCTTATCATGTCACGTTATTAAATTTCTATATTTAATAAATAGCTATTAATAAAAATATAATTATTGAAAACTCATGTATATTTCCTCTTTCATTAACAAAATGAAAGGTTTTAATTTGAATTAACTGTTTCCAAATTAATATATGTAATGTGTGTTTTAAATCCACACCAACTACGCAATGCTAATATATATATTTGAAAATAACAAATAACAATGCAATGCGAATATATTTAATTAAGAGTATTCGAAAAAGTATTGGAAAAAGAAAAATAAGAAATGAAAAATGTGAAACGTGTAACCGCGCTGAGAATTCCAGGTGTTATTTGAGGGATCAATCAGTCAATTTATTTTCCCTCTCCTAAAAGATATACAAAGTAAACTTGCTAAAAAATAGATAACAAATATATTTTTCATTTGACAAGGAAGAATTAAGAATAAAAAAAATTAGGACAGTACTTTCATGTCAAGCTCGGACGCAATAAGTAACAAATGATTAAATACCTTATTTTTTAAGTTATTATTTATATATATATATATATATATTCCTCAAAATAATAGCATTAAACAGCAGAAGATTTGTTTTTAATATGATATGAAAAGGTTTATGATCAACCGTCAAATTTACAAATATATATTCCAATAGTAATTAGTTAGTTGACGACGTTGGTGCACCCCTACCACATAATTCCCCTAATAAATAACATTAGAAAAAGGACCCCACTTTTTCTCAAGTGTTTGTTTTTTTTTTTTTTATTAAAAAAAAAAAAAACATTTTTTGAGTGTACATGTGCAAGTTAGCAAAAAAAAGTAAGTGTACATGTGCAAGTGGAATGCCCTCTTTGAGAGGTATAGAATGACAGTTCCCTCTCATTAATTTGTCTTATCTTTCCTCTTTTCATGAGAAAGAAATAGAAAGAAAATATCATGGAGACTTTCTTTCTTAGCCACCATTTTTTCTCGCTCTCCAAACAGAGCAAAAGTCCAAACACATGACAACAGAGAAAGCAGCAAAGAGCCAATTAGTCTGTAATTCATTTTTTTTTTTTTTTTTTGCAAACTCGAATAGGGTTAAAACGGGTCACAGAAAATCTAGAGTGGTACTTATAATATTACCCTTGTGGGAAAAATCAAACTGTCACTTTCAGCTCAGCTCTCACAGCTCATCATGTTTCACCATCTGTCATCTGCCAAAAATCTTCATACTCTTTCTATCTACATTGAAATCTTTATTGCAACCAATAGACCCGTCTTAATTATTTGATAATTTCTTTCGTTCTTTATCATCATGTTTCACCATCTTGAGGATTTGATGTTCTGGATTATTGGAGAAGTTAGTGACCGTAGTAGAGCTTTCATCATTGAACTCGTTCAAGCACTTTCTTTAATTTCATCTAAAACGGGCTTATTCGTTTATATTTTTGAATTATAATAACTTGAGTGTAAATTTTGAGTTGAATTTAAGTTATAATTTAAGTTGAAGTTGTAATTTGAGTTTTTGTTTAGTTATGTACATTTGAGTTATAGTTTGAGATTAGAATCTTTTCGAATTTGTGTTTGAGTGAGTGAAAACTTAAATTTGTATTTATATAGTATTTTAATAAAAACTCAATAGTGATGAAAAATTTTAATAGGGTATATGGGTGGAGTTTTATTTATTTCTTCATTGTGAACGCATAGAAAGAAAAATCATCTCAATCGAAAATAAAATGAAAGAGTTATGACGTTTTTAAGAATAAAAAAATATTATTTATTAACTTGAGTTGAATTTAAGAACTTGAGTTGAAGGAGAAATTTGAACTTAAATTTTAACCCTCGACTCAAGTTAAAACTAAGTTTAAATTTAAATTTTATAAAAAAAAACATGAAGTTGAATGAATGAGAGCTTTGTAAAAATAACTCAATAGAAAAGTTTTATTAGTAAAATAATTTTTTAAAAATTTTTATTTGTAAAATGACCACTTTTTACAAAGAATAATTAGGTGGTTGTTCTTCATAAAAAATAAAAAATGTCATTTTGCTAATTTTACTTTGTTGGATATCATTCTAGCATATTGCCTTGAATGAAAGTTGTAATTTGAGTTCAAACTCTTTTTGAGTTTAGGTGTAAAAGATTTTTTTTTTCCCTGGAGACCTTTTTGGCAAAGTAAGAAAAGAAAAGAGTGCTTTATGGTAGAGCATAATTTTTTTTTTTTTTTTAATTTGAACAGATTAAACTGGTATTCTATTGTCTGGTTTTTTTTTTTTTTTTTTTTTTTTTTTTTTTTTTTTTTTTTTTTCACGTTCTATCATAAAATTCTCTCTTGACATCCTTTTTCGTCATTTAACTCTCGTTAGCAATGTTTAGGCGTAATAATAACTTTTACGATGTGAAAGTGAAACGAGTTTCATGGAATTTTGGTCTTTTTGTACGTAAAAATACATTGACAAAGGACAAGAATTTTCTATGACGCAATGAGAACCGATCAGATGCGCACGCATTATAATGCGTTACTTTGACTATCTTTTTTGCAAGAGCGAAAACAGATGAAAGAAAGAAAATATCACAGAATTTTTTTTTTTTTTTTTTTTTTTTTTTTTTTTTTTTTGCAAAAAAGAAGAGAGATGGATAAAGAGAGACTATTTTGCTTTTGACGAATTATTATTATTATTATTTTCAACGGCAATGGAAGATCAGGAAAAGAAGAAAAAAATCTCCACATTTTACTATTTCCATTAATTATACTTTACAGTTAAAAAACGTTACACCAAAGAAACAGAAGAAGAAAATAGAAAGAAGAGAGAGAGTTTGAAGCCTTTCAAAGAAAAATTGGAAAAAGGCTTAAAACACAGAAAAAAAGGGAAAAAAACCCAAAAAAAAAAAAAAAAAAAAAAAACCACACTCACTCGCATTTACAAACCTTTTTTTTTCCTCCCTTTTTTTGGGTTAAAAATATCAATAATCACTCCATAACAAACCCTCAAACCCAGTGGAGATTAGCTCATGATCACGAACGCTCTGCAGCCACGGCGGCGGGTAAACCCACCCATCTTCCGAGTCAACAAACACGAACTCAGTCCCCAACTCGGCCGACTCGTAACTCGTCCCCAGACTCGGCAACTCAACGATCTCGCTCAGCTCCTCCGACAGCACAAACGACGTCGTCGTAGCCGACGAAGAAGCTGACAGCAATGCAGACGAAGACGAGGTCGTCGTGACGGCTGTAGCCGCCGTCTGAGAGCCATCAAGCTTGTGCATCTGAGCGGCTTTGGCGGCGGCGGCTTGGACGTCGCGCGGCGCGAGCGAAGCCGGTCGGGGGAGCGAGCCGGCGAGGTGCGGGAAGTTGAGGATCGCGGAGCTTCCCTTGATGCTGAGGGCCGCCACGTCGTGGGCCCGCGCTGCCATCTCCGGCGTCGGGAAGGTTCCGAGCCAAATGCGGGATTTCTTCTTGGGCTCGCGGATTTCAGAGACCCATTTTCCCCAATTCCTCATTCTCACTCCTCTGTAAACCGGGTGCTTGCTCGAATCCGATCTCATCCTCTTGCAGATCTTGCTGTTCTTGTTGGCTTCATCTGACGGCGGCGGAGGCGGCGGCGGCGGCGGAGGAGTTGGGCAGACTGAGGACGGGGACTGTGGGGAGGAGGATGTGGAGGTCGACGTCGAGGAGTTTGAGCTGCTCTCTGTTGTCTCCGAAGTAGTACTCATTGTTATTAGTGTTAATATTGTTGTCGTATGGTGAATACGACACTAAAATGGTTTTGTTAGTGGTGGGAGGAGAATTTGGAGAAGGAAGAAATGAAGAGCATGCAAGTCGAGAAGGAGAAGTGGTGTGTTGTTGTTTTGATTGATTATGATGATGGTGATGATCAAAGGAAGGCTTTTTTGGTTTTGTTGTTGTTTCCCATTATTTCGCAATGACCGAAAATGTTTATAAAGATTGAGAGATTGAGAGAGAAATGGAGTTAGAGACTAGAGAGAGATTGGAGATGCATGGACCCCACAAGAGAAATGGGTCGACTTGCTAGAGAGCCTATAACATGGTTACACAGAGAGAGAGGGAGAGAGAGGTCCCCATTCTCTAGTACCACGCAACCCCTAATAAATTTCCCCTTTTTTCCTTGTTTTGTTTTGTTTTGTTTTGTTTTTGCTTCTTCTTTTTCTTTCTTTCTTTTTTTTTTTTTTTTTTTTTTGCCCCAAGTTTTTACACCTAGGTTTTACTGTTCATTTTTCCTCTGTTTTTATCTTCAACATTATCTCCTGCCCCTTTTACCGACCATATGTGTTGTCATACTTTTTGCTCTCCTTTTTTTCTTAATCATTATCGTCGTTTTGACTGCAGCCTGGATGATCTTCTCCTGTGTGGAAAACAAAACAATGTTCTCCTTCACAACTTTTTGATTGGTTGGTGGGTCGAAATCTTTGTATTGCCATGTTTGTACTGTCTTGTATTATCTGATATTTTGAAGTAAGAATTAGCAATTAGGTAATTAATTTACACTGTAATTATGATAATATATGATCATACTAATAATTGATAATAATGCATCTTAGTAGTTAAGTACTTGAGTTTCTTAAATTGAAAAATGTATTACCCAGAATACATGCAAGCTATATATAGTTTTATTTATAAGAGAAAAAAATACATTATTATACCTAAAAAATAAAATAAAAAATACAACACTATGGGTGCGTTTGAAATTGGTTTCAAAATGATTTTGTTTGCAATAAAAAGTAAAAATGAGATTGTTTTTAGAATAATTCTGGTATCGATTCTGAAATTGCGTTTAGTTAATTTTTTAAGATATTGTTTTGAGTATAATAAAAAAATAAAATCATATTTATTAATTAATATATTATAATATTATTAATAAGTATTAAAAAAAACATAAAAGTGAAAATAATATTCAACTGTTTTCTAATTTCTTCTGTTTTCGTTTTCGTTTTCATTTTAAAACATTTGCTAACACGCACTATATGATCAATCATATACATTTTTAAACCTTTCATAGAGATAGGGGTAAGGTCTCTGTCCTCCCTAGACAGCTACTAAAGGTTTCATTTTTTATTTGCTTTATCTTTCATTTCTTTTGATTCTACTCGCAATAGAATCCTAGTGAAAAAGAATAAACAAATTAAATTTACTACTAGTACTCCAGTAAAGAGCAAATAATTAAACAATGATGTTCTTTGGGCAAGTAGTGATTATTCAAACTCAAGAACTTGTGTTGGTTAATGACAAGATCTTTCTTCAATAGTTGGCCCCATAGAGCGTTCAAGAGTTATGGCCCCAAACGATCGTAATAAGATCTGGTATTAGTTGCAGAGACTAGCAATATATATGAACACCAACTTCGAGCCACCAAACAATGTATTGAGTTCTCCAACCTCACATATATGGGTCCCAATCGCCAATACGATCTTAGACCCACTCCCCAAACGCTTCCAAAATGTGGTTATGCCACAATATGATAAAATATATATATATATATATATTGTATGTATATATACATATATTTATATTTATATTGTACATGTAGTGCCTCAACTTAACCCTAATAAATGAAGTTACCCCACATTTTAAGGACACTTCTGTGGCCAATTAATCAAAAGGGCCCGTTTTCACCCGGCGTCATAGAAAAATATAAGAATGTGCATCATTGCAAATTTATATGAACCTCGTCATGAATTATGAATATGACTGAGTGCACCTTAGTCAACGTTCAAAAACTCTATAGACAAATGAAAATTGTAGTAATATAATCATTTGTACCGGAGAACTTGATCTCTCTTTTTCTTTTCTTTTTTTTTTTTTTTTTTCCTTTTCTTTTGAAAACCCCTTTTCACATAGACAAAAAAATAATAATAATAAATAAAGATATAAGAACTTTAACATATGAGTTGCTAGACATTACAATCCTACGTATAAGAAATTTTCACTTGTCAATCTGCTAACGAATCGTTACTACTGGACAATTTCATGTAAATCTATCAATCTCTGTCCATGTCTCGTACTAGCCGCCCTGCTAATTAGCTGTTAAATTACTAAATTGTTCCTATGTATTGTACTGGGCTTGTCTATATTTGCCACATGAATAGGCCATTACACAGTAAATCTTAAATTATAGTTGGGTGTTAAATCAAAAGAATAGTTACTCTTGTATTCTTAACGTACTAGCTTGTCTAAACATGCATGCACTACACAAAATAGGGCTATTAGCGACGATAAAAAATCGTTGTAAAAAATACAAAGTCGTCGCAAATAAATTTTTAACGATCACTTATCGTCACAAATATATCGTTGCAATTGATTCGTCGCAAAAATAATTTTTGTGACGACAAGCAATCGTCACAATTACAGTTATGACGACAATCGTTGCTACAATTATTTTGTCGGCTGCATCATTAAAATGACATGACATTAAGTATTTACGACAACATTTTACGAATTAAGTCGTCACAAAAGATGCAGAATTAGCTGACGTGGCTTATATTTTTTGCGACCACATTTGTCGTCGCAAATAATATTTTAATTTTTTATTTACTTTTTCTCATTTTAATAATAAATGTTGTATATTACTATATATTTAAACCCAATATTAAATATAATTCATGATATTATAATAATAAAGAAGAATTAAATAAAAGGAAATATATAATAAAAAAATAAAAATAAAAATTATTATTGTAAAAAGTAATTAATAAAATAAAATAAAAATGTTATTATAGTAGAAATGTACGGAAATAAAAATCGTCGGTATCTTCTTGAACATGGTCTTCTTCGTCATCCTCTACCAGTATATCGGAGTCATTATCCTCAACAGGAGACTTGTCTTTTAAAATTGCATCAACATCGGACATGACAACATCAGATAATATATCAGGTTAATTTCGCATCAAAGTGTCAATCTCGGGGAGTTCCACGACTAAGTCAACATTCATAGACTCGATATCTTGAACTACTGTAATGTTGTCTGCTTCTGTATATGGAATATCTCAAATATGTCGATGTTCAAAGTGTTCAACAACTTTTCAGTTCAGACTGTTGAATAAATCATCCACCTAAAAAACTTGTTCATCCACTTCAAATGAACAAGTCCTCCTCGAATGGCTTCTTTTGGCAAGTGCATTACTAAATGAACAATTACATCAAAAAATATTGGAGGAAAAATTATTTCTAACTTGCATAAAATAACAACAATATCCTATTGGGCTCTCTCTAAATCACTCATCCGCAATGTCTTAGAACATGTCAATTGAAAGAAGTTGCTCAATTCGGTGATTGCATCGACAATTTCTTTCTTTATAAATGGTCGAATCACGAACAACAACAACCCTTTCATCCTACAACTCTTTTAACTCATCCACAAGGGGCCTTAAGAACACATCAATATCCTTCCTAGGAGCATTGTGACCAAGAATCAATAACGCCAACATCTTGTACGGGTCCTTAGTACATAGCCATTAGTCACGGGGGTAAATTATATGCAGTCACAATAACAGGCCACATACTGTATGATAGAATCGTATTCCCAAATGGGTTGAAACCATCAGCATTTAACCCTAATAGAACATTTCTCGGTTCATGTGCAAATTGTGGATGTTTTTCATCAAACTCTTTCTACTCCGTACCATCAATGCATTAAGTCTTCATCCCTGAACGCCCCCACACATGCCACATCATTTCCTTAGCAGTGTGACGGGCATATAGACATTTCAACCGATCCTTCAAAGGGAACTATCGGAGTACTTTCTACAGAACTTTTTTTCTCTTTTTGCTCTTCCAATGACTTGTACTACATACTGGACAAGACTGCAAAGCAGCATTCTGCTTCCAAAAGAAAGCGCAGTCATACTTACACACATGAATTGCCTCATAGCTCAGACCCAGTTTACTCAATAACTTCTTCGCCTCGTAATGTGATGTAGGTAACTTATTCCCTTCGGGGAGTGCATCTCTCAGTAGCTTCAACATTTCATCTATGCACTCATTAGGCCACTTGCACAACACTTTTAGATGCATTAGTTTCACTAAAATTCAACGATGAATACTCAGTGCAACACAGATACAATCTAACTTGGAGCTCGGATAAGAGATCCCTAAATTCATCGTAATGAGCATCTTCTATAACTGTTTTTGTCTCACCCATTGTTTCATGATCATCACTAATCCCAACCACATCATTTAGCACTGCAAACATCTCGTTAACAGGTTCACTGACAACTGCAACAGCACGTACTTCACCATGGTGAATCCATGTGGTGTAACTTGTATTAAAATCCCATCGATGTACGTGCACTTTCGCTGTTTCTGGTGGCAGCATCTCATGATTTCTACAGTTGATACACGGACAACTAATACCCCCGGTTGAATTTGCATAATTCTTTCCAACCTCAATAAAAGCACACAAACCATTCCAGTACTCATCAGACAACCGGTTACTTAAATGTATCCAACTTTTGTCCATAGGCATCTCCACTATGAAGAATTTATAAAGTTTTATCAAATTTTATGAAAATTAAAATTAGTTTATTTAATTATTTTATTATTAATGTAAAACTAATTAAAATTTTAATCTAATTTTTTAATCATTATAGATATAATTTAATATTTTTAAATTAAACATTTTCATAAGTCGCCTATTTTTTAATCATTATCAGACAAGTTTCAATCTAATTACCACATATTCCAATTCTAGTTCTAATTTACAATTCACAATTCTAAATCTAAAACCACAAACTAAATTCAAAACCCAAAATAAAACCACAAACCATAACAAATACCAAAATCAATTAACAAAATAGTAAAATATTAACTCACAAAATCCAAACCCTCAAACACCGGGGGTTGAAAAACGGAAAGGCAACAAAGAAGGGAGAACGCCGGCGG